TCTGTGTTGAATGCAGTACTTTGGGACATCTTGCATAATTCCCTACTGCATCGTACACAACATCAATATTCCACTTGTACAGGATCTTTTCCTGTTTGTGTGGATACAGATTGTCCGACAGACTTGCATCCGGCAGACTTGCGTCGAATCCCGACATCTTGCACGATCAAATTCCGATCGCACGTGTCGAAAACTTCGTACTTGAATAGTTTCTTTTTGAACGTAAAAACTCATATTTCGTCATATCCCAACAGGTTTCGTGTCGCAGTGACTTGTTTCGATTTCTTTGATCGGTTTTGCTTGATCGGTTTCGTTTTGTTTTGATTTCTTTGATCGGTTTCAAAACGTGACATCATTTTTTAAAATTAGAAACTGACGTACGAGAGCCACATCATACTCGGATGGAGCTGTACGAGTCTCCGCATATTTTCATCAAATAAATCTCTTTCATGGATGAGCCGCCCATCAACCATCTCGTTACTCCATTGGAGATGATGGAACCTGGCCTGGCTCTGAAGGGCTACAGCGAAAGGTGAATCAAGCGTGCCAAGGGGGAAGATGAATGTCTTCCGTTTCCAACACCACTTCAGAGTTTCTCCCTGCACTGCAGTTTGGGTGCACACCGACATGCAAATTCTAACATTGCAGGCGCAAGGATCAAGGGAGGAGTACTTGACCCTAACATCTCTTGATTGGACAACTGTACAATCTACAAAAGTACCCAACCAAAGATGAGCTGACGTCGTCCCAGTTCGACTACTCCAACGGACTATTGCGTAAGAAAGAAATATTGTGGAACTCCATCGGAGATCAAGGCTACAACGGAGGGCCAAAGCATATGAGCACCAACAATACACACAACTGGCCCTTCAAGAGTGGAGCTCTCAAGAGACACGAGAATTTCAACAGTCTGTTGAAGCAAAACAAGATCTTGAAGACGCGATTTCAACACAACGGAGATAGATTTGCTTCAGCTTTCGAGGCTTGTTGCGTCTTGGCTCAGTATCTAATCACAAGAGAGATGTCACTACACGATATTTTGATTGAGGATGCTGTAGATACTTATGAAGGCAATAAATAGAAACTGTCTTGAGTAGTAGGGCCATTGTATTTACTTTGCATTTCATTTTAGTAGTCATCTTTATCCTCTTCATCTCTTGGTTCAGCATATTGAGGTAGTTTGTCTTCATCCACATTATTGTGATTGTCGTCTTTATCCTCTTCTTCCAGAACTGCCATGCTGCGATGCTCGCCACCCGGCGGATTTGGCTGCCTGGGCTTGATGAATCTCGTCAGGATCTCAGCTATGGCACCTTTCCTCGGTCGAAGGTTTTCTACCTTGCCATTTTTCAAGGTCTGAAGCTCGTATTTGTGAGGTTTGCAATGGTCCATATGTTCAATCCTACTGTATTGTGACTTGGATTGACATGATTTTCAATTTATCTTGTGACTCGTTTTCTTGAGGTGTTTCAATTTCTTTGATCGGTTTCAAAATAGCTTGATCGGTTTCGTGTTGCAGTGACGTGTTTTGATTTCTTTGATCGGTTTCAAAATAGCTTGACCGGTTTCATGTCGCAGTGATTTGTTTCGATTTCTTTGATCGGTTTCAAAATAGCTTGACCGGTTTCATGTCGCAGTGACTTGTTTCGATTTCTTTGACCGGTTTCAAAAAGTCATTTTAATTTATGAGCGGTTCCCTGCTGACAGGGGGGAAAGACCCGTGCGCAGTAATCGCGTCCGACGCACAAAAATCGGTGGATAGACAGACGAGTTGCGGGGAGTCCAGAATCATCGATCGATTATCATGATAATTAAAATCAATTCAAGGTAAGAATCTTTCATCCTTTATCTATTACCACGGTACTCGATTATATTATAGATTGAAGGACGATAGAAGACGAGAGGAAAACTCGTGTTGTAGATAGGTAGAACCCAAGTAGTGTTGGATCCAAGGTAGTTTTTCAGCCTAGATTTGAAGATACGAGGTTGGGCTTCGCTCAAGCAGCAGCAGCTATATGGATCGCAATCATTCCGTATTATCAAGTTCCGTCAATATTTCCCGAAGCAATACATGAATCGCCTTAACATATTTCGAGTTTGTAGCACCCGTGTCTGACGCTGCCTTTTCAATTCTCTTCACTACTCCGGATAACAGGAATTTCGACTTGAGTAGATCCTCCTTACTCTTCCGTTGATAGTGGACAATTTGAGAGGCTACTTCGGTGACTTTCCGAACTTGATCGTCGTCTTTTTCCCATGCTCTCACGGATGTGAGCGATCGATATTCCTTCATCAAGTTCTCAAACACGTGAGAATCTTCGCCAACTTCAGCATGAAAATATGCCATTATCTCAAATATCCAGGAATCATTCCGACTAGCACGAATGCGTTCTAGTAAATTGTGAACTCGAGGCAGGCTTCTTCTTGCTGTATCCAGTGCAACTTTGTCAGAATTGAGCATTGCTGTCCTGTAGGCTGCAAGGATACCTGCTACGATACCTTTCACACACTTCTCCTCCGGGTCAGGAATATCCTGGGAAGCAAGACTTTGTTTCAGGTCTATCAACATATTGCAGGCCTGAATAGCTTCGTCGTATTTTTTCAAATCGAGGCAGACATACAGCTTGTTTTCCCAAACACGCCAGTTCTTGCGATTATTCTTCAGAGACTAAGGAGAAGCATATTTAAGGTTGTGAAGGAGTGCAGTGGTGCGAAGTTACAAGCCCTACTTACCTCAACCAGTGCTGGATATGCCTCAGCTGGCCGTTGTTCGTGCTGGTGAACTGCGGCCACATTTGCCCATGCCTCTGATTCCTCCGGATGCTGCTGAACAACTTCAGAAAAAGCTGTAAGCGCATATTTCCAATCACCGAGTCGCATGCAAATCGTTCCCACTCGAAACCAGGCTGTTGTAATCAAGGGTCTTAACGCCAAAGCATCCCGAAAGCTTACCAACGCCTCTTCCAACCGGCCACGAATGAACAAGTGTTCAGCCCTTGAAACATGCGCCTGACAGAATCGACCGTTAGAAATATCAATGGCCTTATCGTAATATCCAATTTCATTCGTTATGTCTCCAAGCGCGGCAAACATTCGAGGTGTTTCAGCTATTGCTAGTCGATTTCTTACTACTTCTTCTGCAAGCTTCTCTTTTCCAGCTCGACGATAGCAATCAACAACTTCGTCCCAGTGTTCAATTTCAGCAAAAATTTCAGCAGCGCTCGTCAAAATTCCAAGCTCTGCATATCGTTCTGCAACATCTCGAAGCATATGCCACCGGGGTGGGTAAACAATACTGTGTACATTCCGCAGCCTGTCCTGAACAGGCGAGGACTCGTCAACGCTCTTCCGCGTTGACTGCGTGATAGTAAGCCTGGTTGTGTGTTGATCTGCCAGGGCCTGTAGCTGCAACAATGCTCTTTCTTTACTGTGGTTCCCTTCAAATTCCAACCACGCCCTTTCGAGTAATGCAGTGGAATAAAGCGTCCAGTCATCATGATGGCATAAAACACGGGCGAGGTACGCACTCATCTCCTCCGCTGTCAAACCATCGGACGGATTCGTATTCTTAACATCCAGACAAAGTGCCAGAATAATTGCCTGATCCAATACCCGAAGTTCATCGATATTATTATCCGGGTCGTTGTCGAATTTGACGCGGTCCAGGAGAATCGACTCATCTGTGTGCTCCACCATTTGTGACTTTATACCTTCGCTACTATATCCAGTTCCCTTTGTCTTACTCGAAGCCTCGTCCTGATTCGATGGTGCAGACACCGCACGAACTACCTAATAAGACGAGAGAGGAATTGATTAGGTCAGAGCAGATTGCAAATTTGCTAACAACTATGCGAGTTCGAAATGTACCATTTGCGCGGTTGCCTTTGTCTGGAACTTGGTTCGTTTCCCCATGGCTCCAGTAACTTCAACAGATAGGGAAGATATCTGTCGGGCTTTTTCAAACTGTTTCTTCCCCATCTTGCCATGTTGAAAATGGTGGCAAGCTAGTCCATATTCCAGCCGTATAGTTGCTCTCAGCCTGCGACTGCAGTTTTCAACTGCACGGATACAATCCTGAAACGTTTCCTCCAGCTCTGTCCACAATGTCACTGTGGGCTCTGCAGACAAAAACAGGCGCTCATGCGCTACTGCAGCACGTGCGCTCCAGATAGACGAACTGGAAAGGTGGGAAACCGCCTCACAAAACTCCTTGGGCATCTTATCGATATTCTTCATGTTATGACTCCAATGCTGCCGTTGCGGATTCGACAGGGTCGCGAGGACACAACGCGCAATCAACAGTAGGTATGGTAATTTTGCAACCTGGCAGGGCCATAAACCGTCAACAGTCAACTCAGCAAGTACGGAATTATCATATGTTGAACGATCCGTCTTCGTTTCCAACTCATTTTCTTTCTTGAAGCAAATTTCGACATGAGAGTGAGGATTGATTGCTTCGAGTATCGAAACATCCTCAACCATTGGACCAGTGTAGTTCAGCTGCATGAATAGACTTAGCGCTGCTATTGCAAATAATTCTGCCTCGACACATTTTCTTGCGGTCGTCACTGTCGACAGATTCGTGCGTATGCGACTCCGAATATCCTCACACTCCGGTCGTTCTTTCAAGGGAGCGAGTAGCCAGTTACATGTGTCCCCTCTCAGAACTTCTAAATATTGACCACCTTCGAGTTGCTTTACAATGCGAAAGATCTCATTAACTTTCCTTGCGCACCCAGTTGCTTCCGTTTCGTTTTCCGAGGTTAATCCTGTTCCATTCAAGAACAGATTCTCATAACGCAATGCAGTGAGATCATCATCTCCCAATGATGCGGCTGAGTCACTAAAATCTACACCAGTGAGGTCAGGTGCGGCGAATGCAAGATCGCAATCGCTATCGGAATTGGAAAAGGAATCAGTTGCTTGATCCATTGGTTGGGAAAAATGAAAATTGCGGAGTGTACAGTGCGTGTACCTGGAAGGCACCCTGCAGGAGGTGTTGGCTAGCGAAGGACGGACTGATCAGAACGCCCAAGTACGTATGCGAAGAAGGTACAGTAGCAGGACAGTGGAAAGCTACGTACCAAAGAGGTTGTGAAAGAAGTTGGTGAACGAGCTGCAGCTCAGTTGCAGCTCATTCCTTTTGAAAAGACTGCTCTGTATTTGACAGAGTGAATTTGAAGTCTAGGAATAGATAGTTATTAAGATTACGAAAGCACACGGCTCTTCTACCTTAAACACTCATCATCATGACCATTACGGACTTCTCCGTGCGCAAAAAGAGCTACAGCTACCTCACCACCCAGGCGAGCTACCCAAACCATGATTCCAAGGCGGTCCTCGATGCCTTCGATCCCACCAAAGATCTTCAGTTGCAAGATCTGAACAGCCTTGTCGAAAAGGGCATTCAAGGAGGCGCCCCAGCCTGGTACACGGGATGGCTCAAGGAACAGGAGAACGTCATTAATCTCTGGCATCGGCCGATGATTAGATACACCACGGTTGGCGAAAAGAAGGAGCCGCATTTTGATAAGTTGTACGTGCTGGACCACGATGTTCTGGAGAACGGGAGCGACAAACTGGCATTCTCTTGGCCGGCAAAGGCCTTCTCAAAAACCGATCCGGTTAAGTTGGAGGCGTGGTTGATAAACGAGGAGCTGGAACAGGATCAATCCAAGGTGTTCGTTATGGAGGATATCACTGACAAAGATCCTGAGACGGCATACGACCTACTGGTTACGCGCAAGCGAATGCCCATTCCCAAGGAGTTCTTGGATATCACTTGGGACAGATCATCGGCACACGAAGTCTTGCAATTGGTGATTGACAGAATCAAGGTTCTCCCCACCCTCTGGCACGAGCTAGCAAAGTGTAGGAAGCACAAATCAATTGGAATTGTGCAGTCCCTACTAGACCATGAGGCAGAGAAGTGTCAGATAATCAAATCCGTAGCTGTAATGAGAGCCTCAACGCTCTAGCTACCTCTGGAGTAAATCTAAGCTCGAATCTACGTCGGCTATGGATTGCCTGCAATAGGAACAGGTGCCAGTGATGCTGGGCTTCTACCTGCGGATGAACATTCTCACCACTTCCTATTAGATCTTATTCTACTGCTATTCTTGCCAGAAGTCGATCAACAATGATCTCCACAAGCAGGTACAAAATATCTCTCCAGGAAGCCATCTGCGTCAGCTCTCACCAGCTGTCGCGGCGTATAAAGTACATACGTACATGTTCTTCACCAACTAGTCACAGATCTGGATCTACCTTCAATACTCCTGCGTATCCGAACCGCACTCCTGTTCTAGTCCAATACCATGAATGTCCGACTTCACTGTCCGACATGTTCGACACCAACACACTCCTGTTGTTTTGACAACTTCAGTTGCGACAACAAATCCTTTCTTCACCTAATATGTAACGTGTATATATGACCAACGATGGCCATATTTAGTCTTCTTGATCTCCTTGGATCAATGCCCGAAACTTACGGAACTTTTCGCCCTGTAAAGGTTTCGTCATATAATCCCCCCACATGTCATCTGTCGGCATGTGTTCGATCGTTGGATTTCCTTTTACAACCTGATCAGTTACAAAGAAGTAACGGATGTTCAATGCACGACTTCTCTTGCCAGCACTTGACCTTCCGTTCTTTTTGAGGAGAATAGAGCTCAAATTATCTTGATACAAGATATTCTTCTCAATCGGATAACCCTGTTCTTCCATGAACATGCGTGTCCACAATACTTGCGTGATCGCATCATCTACTCTGATTAGTTCCGCATGCGTACTGCTGCGGCTATTCAGCTTCTGTTTCTTTGACATAGCCTGCATAGCTCCACCACCCATGGTCATCACTCCTCCTGTGTGACTCTTGAAGTCAGGGTGAACCGCAAAAGATGCATCGACAAACCACTTCATCACTCGAAGGTTGTCAGCGCTCAGCGTGAGATGCCCTTTCTTGGTTGAGTGCATGTATCTCATAAGTCTTACGGGTCTATGCCAATCACTTTGATTTGGGTTTTGAACTCGTGACGTCAAAATTGCCACCGTCGGATGCATATCCAGACGCGCACGTTTGGTCGAAAACAAATGTTTCGCAACAAACCTGTGAAACTCAGTCTGTTGATCCTTGTCCAAAAGCTTCCCTTTTCCTACCTCCAGCAGATTATTACCAGCAGGTGTTTCCTGTTTGTCGTCTTCCTTAAACTTAACAGAAAATTTGTCAAGCATTCTTTGGACATGATCGTCCATTCGAATTTTCAACTTCCCTTTCTTTGAATAATCCAATGTCACTCGTCCACGTGTACAAGTCCCTTCCTTTAGTCCTCCGTATCTCTCATTTATCCATGTAAAGAAATCTTTAAGAACTTCATGTTGCATGTGGCTCGCTAGCACATCATCAACATGAAACCTTATAGTCAATTGCTTCTCGTTGACCATCATATTCGCAATGCATGGATCGTATACGTTAAACACGAATCCGTATTCTTCCAATGATGCCCTCAGATTTTGGTACCATAGTAACGAAGCCTGTAACATCCCATAAATAGCACCGAGGATCACAACATAGATCACTCGTTGTCCATTTTTGATTACTACAAAATCCCGATACGTCAGATCTAGGTCAATATATAACCAACCAACAGTCCAGTAATTTTCATTATTACTCGATCTTCTCCTTCATCCTGCTCGGGCATCAATGTTTGAATAAATGCGTTAGGTATATCCATTGACATAACGTTTCTATCTACCTTCATGGGCATCAATCACACCCGTGCAGATAATTGCTTCATGCAAAGCTGTAGGACTTGCAGTGTCCTCACGAGACAACCAATCCCGGGTCTCGTTACCTTTGAATAGGCAAAGTCCTTTGATTGTCACGCCATCATTCTTTTCGGCCAGTAGCATCATTGCATCCACTGCCTTCTTTCTTTCAGGTGGTTTCAGTTTCTCAATACTGATTGGTGTCCAGCAACTGCGCTTGATCAATTGGTCAAGTTCTTTCATGGCCGCATCTTTACCTCGCTCCTTGAATATCTTCAGTCCTTTGTTCAGATAGTATTGTTGAATGAACGAGACTCCGTCTTGCCCATCGATACCACCGTTGACACCATCACGTAACTGTTGGATAACACGCGCGACTACTAAAGCTTCGTCTGCGTCATATTCACCTTTATTCGTATTTCCGACTTGCTGGAATGCCAAATTGTGCATGCGTTCTTGTATGGAACGCTCGTACTTGTGGTACCGTGCTCCCTTTCTTTATGCATCAATTCTTCTCGTGATTGCTTGATACAGTGCCTGGATCGAACCATATCTCATGTTCAACCACTCAGCAAATTCGTCATTTACTTTCGGATCCATGTGACTTGACATAAGATCGTCAACATGAAATCTGATAGTTTGCTGTTTTTCATTAACAACT